TTGCAAACTGGGATTCTTAATTTTTGTTATGGTGTTTAAAGATGGCAACTGGGATTAAGTTGATATTTCCCATAGTTAATATTAAAATAATTTTATATAATAATGTTATACTGTATGGAATTATTATACAATGTGAGTAACCAGAGTCTAAATATTGAGTAAAATTTACCATTTGTTTATGTGACATTGACAATGTAATTGAGTTTCTTCAGTGTGTACAATGTCAATCACGGTACTTATCATTTAGTTATCTTCACTAGCTCAATTGTCACTCGAAACAAGCTGGTCTGCTTTTGACTAAAATTGATTCCTTTGTAATAGCCAACAACAATTCTGCTATTCCTCAGAGGGTCTCCTTATTTCTGGTCCAGTCAAAATATACAAAGAGCTATTGACTAGAGAATAACTCAAGCTCTAAACTTGTAATGGAACAAGAGAGAATTTAAAGAAAAATATTGACAGAAGAGGGTGTTAGAAAATTTACACTTCGATTGTGTTCCCATGCCAGTCAGTGGCTTCCCAGAATAGACTTGTGTGAAACAGTTGCGAAATTCTTGGAAGAGCAAAACAATCATGGCCCTTATGGTCGATAAGGTTATTGCTCAGTTGTCATGTGGCTAGCACCCTTTCAGACCGGGTAAGTTTAAGGGGAAGAGATCATCTGTGGGATATTATATGAATATATACCTAACAGGATTTGTTTGGCGGTGTGAGTATAAGTTAGGAGAAGTAGACAAATTCAAGTAGCACTTTAAAGCTTTTGCCTAAGGAGCTGGATGTTTCACGGTGACTCATACTGTAATGGTGATTCCTAGAGAAAGGCCATATTTTTAGGAAGTAGACAGGAATGAGCAAGAACTCAGTTTTGTATTTGCTAAGATAAATGCCCATTAGACATTGTAGGGCAGGCATAAGGAACCAGAGAAAAGTCAATCTAGAAAACTAAACTTGGAAGCCATCAGTAAAGATAGAATCAAGCGGTAACACTTCAAAATTACTTTTTGTATTTAAATACATTTTGTATTTAAGGTCTCATTTGGTTGTAAGAGCCCTATGGCCTGAGAAGTGTCCCAAATAGATGGCAATATACAAAAAAGTAGGAAGGAGAGGCGAAGCGGTAGATAGAAATGCGAAGCAATGAGGGGAACTGGTGTCAGTAGAAACGGGTCTTCAGAGAGCTCAATTAGGCAAGGAAGGGCAGCCTTTGAATGTGTGTTCGTCCTTGTGTTTGATTCCCAGTAGCTCTGGACTTGAGACTTGCACCAATTTCTCCACAGGCCTCAGGAGCACATCCTTTCCCTTTTCGGGGACACTTGTTATCTTGAGGAGTGCTGGTGCAATACTATAGGAATCCTTGGATGCCATAGTCAGCACACAGGTTTGTGGAATCCACATGCAGAAGGGCCAGGCCCTTACAGCTCCATGAGCTGGACTTCCTGCATTTTAAACAGGTATCCTTGGTAATTCCAACAAACGGGACTTGTGATCACTCTCTGAGTTACTGTGTTGTAGTTCTGTTTGCTATCTGTGAATACATGGGAATCTGAACCCTGTATATTTTACAGTTTTTTTTTCCAGAAAAAAAAAGATATTGTGCTATCAGATTATATGTAATCTTCATCTTTGCTCTCCTGATCCCGCTTTAGAAAATGAAGTGGAGGTTGAAATAAAAGTACAATAATGTTTTTTTTGTTTGTTTGTTTGTTTTTTGTTTTTTGTAACTGTGAGGGTTCTTAATCTTACAGTGAGGAGGGGGAACATGGTTTATTTTAGATAGCAATCCTAATATTCCCTCTAATACTCCATCTATCCCTGTAACTATACATTTCCAAATTAAAATAATAACTCTGATAATCTCCCAAGGAAACATTTGAAGATTGTGAGCATATTGTCAGTATCACCAACCTGATTCAAGGACCAGTGACCCAGGCAGGCTCACCCTCTCCTCACTGGACAATTGTTGACAGAAACCCCTTTGGAAGAGAGTTTGAAGTTCCAGATAAGACAACTGTAGCTGAAGTTTACTTGTGTCCCACCTTGCCCATGGTCAGGACAAATCTCTTGCATCCACCAGTCCTGCAGCCACTTGGAACGAAGTAAACACACAGAGGCTTATACTAATTAAAACTACTCGGCCATTAGCTCAGGCTAAGTATTGACTAGCTCTTACACTTAAATTAACCCATAATTCTTATTTATGTTTAGCCACGTGGCTTGGTACCTTTTCTCAGTTCTGCCTTCACATCTTGCTTCTTCTGTGTCTGGCTGGTGGGTGACTCCTGCCTCAGCCTTCCTGTTCCCAGAATTCTCCTCTCTGCTTATCTTGCCTATACTATACTTCCTGCCTGGCTACTGGCCAATCAGCATTATATTTATCAACCAATTAGAGCAACACATTCACAGCACACAGAAGGACATCCCCAGCAGACAACCAGAGTATCAGTCAATTAGAAATCCCTGTTGTCCATGTCACCATTGAACAATTTAGACCAATACCAGCATTGGCTACATCTTTTATACTCCTGAAATGGGTGGCTCTTACAATGGGCATCTTCTGCTGAGTGAGTTTATAAATGTCCAGGTGTTATGAAATCAGGACTGAGTAGAAAAGGCAGCTTTAGTTACAATTCTTTGCTTTTACTCTGGAATACTGAATTCCTGAACGTCTTTAGGATTCCTATTCTGGCATCCTTTTTTTTTCCTGCCTAAATTTCCTTTTGCTGTATATGCTCAGCCTCAGCCTGTGATCTTTTGTCTAGTTTGGAGAAGTGTGACCCAGCTGTCCCTAACCTGTCTCTAATCTGACTATCACTATCCTGGCTGTCACTCATCTGTACTTAACACTCTTCTGAGATATAAAGAGAAAATAAGACATTTCCTTAATTTCATAATCTTTGATTCAGAGGCAGACTTCAGGAGAAGCTAATTGAATCTAATCTTCATTAGACTCACTTGCTTAGGCTAGCTCCAAAGGCTAAAGATGACTTTGGTGTTGGTTGACATGCTGGTATGGTTCCAAGTTTATAAAGAAAAGAATTTTAACCATACCCATTAAGATTCTTACTTTGCCATAGATGCTCCCAGTATAGCTATGGAATTTGGGAATCAAGATGAAGGAAGTAGAGTGTGAGGTATATTTACTTTGGAGATCTTTTGGGCTAGTGTCTTACTGCCAAGGTTCTGATGGGCCTTTCACTCTTAAGCTTATGCCCAGATTTCAGCACCAGTATTTAGATATAGAAAGAACAGGTTGTGCAGGCTGGTCTATAGGTCAGTGTCAAGGTGTATTTCAGGTGAGCAAGTCCTTTAATAGTGCCAGCCACTTGGACAGTGGAACAACTGAGATAGGCAATCCAACAGCAGCTCACATAACAAAGGAAATTCCTTACATTTATGATCTTTATAGGGGAGAGATATCTGAGTTTAGAGGATTTCTCTGAGTTTAGCAGATTAGTGAAGGTACTAGATAGGATGTTAGGCTGGGACTTGTGAAGGTAATCCTGTGGCGACACCCTACCTTGGGGCTGCTAGCTGCTGGACCTCATCAACTTAGGGGAAGGACTAGAGAGAACAGAAAGTGTTGCTAAAACTGTCTACAGCAGCTAAGAGTGATCATCTAACAGTGACCTTTCATTGCCTATACCTTGGGAGACAAATTTCTGATGTGCCTGCCACATCTCACATTGGTAACTCAAAGTAAGATTTGCTCCTAAAAAGTTGTTGTTTCCTGGTATCTCAGTAGAGAGGTTAAAGGTTAGAGGTCACACCTATTCATAAGTTGATGAATAGGGAGGGTGAAAATATGCAAAGCCAGAAGTAGCCTGGGATGAATTATTTTGAGTAGCAGAGTGTAAAATTTTAAGCACTGGATTCTGCTCTCATTTACATCAGGTCTAATCTGAAGTTCTCTCCTGTCAGGGATGGCCTTAATAATGAATACATACAATTACAAATGTATTATACATATCATATTTTAAGAGGTAATGGGATTTATTAGAATTCCTAGTAGGAAGGTACAAACCCTAGGCAGCACTACAAAGAGAATATATGGAAATGTGAACAACCATCATTGTTGCATCTCAATTATCAATAATGAAAATACATCTCAATCCACTATTCTAGAGGAGAGACAACTATCATTATTCTTTCTTAGTGGAAAATGTTATTATAAAATCATGATCTCACAAAGAGGTAACAAAAAAAGTGTATATAGCTTATTATCTCTGGAAAATGATTCTTTAGCTTGTATGTAACACATTTATAATTTTGTTTGTGCTTTTTCTCATCCCTTTAAAATTAACCATTTTTGTGATTTGTTCCTTTGCTACAAGGAAATAATTATTTTGTACTAAATTCTGTATGTGTTATTTTTTTATTGCTTGGTAAAAGATTTCTATGAAGCACAGTTCTGTGTTCAATGGAACCTGAGGATGACCTTGTTTCTATTTTCTAACAATTTTTTTGTCTTAGTTTGTAGTGACTTGAAATTGCTTAGCTTTCCCCTTGATTAGTAGTTATCCCACTGACAAACAGTGGCTGTGTCATAGAGAAGATCTGGAAGCCATGGGAATTCTCTAATACAAACATTTCTAGCAAGTTTCTGCAGAACCCTTGACAACTCAGGAATTTTAGGACTACAGGAAATGATGGAATCTCTGGTAATAATCATGTGAGTTTATGAACAATTTACACAGTTTCCTTCCACTGGAAACTCAAAACATATTGCTGAATATGACGAGATCAGTAAGATATGGAATGCACCCTTTCCTAGACAGGTGTTTACTTTAGTCATAGCACAAAATAAGGCACAAGCATGTAAATGCAAAATTTTAAAATACTTTCCCAATGATATTAAACAGAATAGGTGGAATGATGCAGTTTTTTGGCACAGAAATCAATTACTGCAAGTCTCCAACTCACATTCTTTCCCTGAGTACATCTGTCAGGAATCTGTTGACGTTTCATAGGCAAAAATCAAGATTGTGTGATTCCTCTTTCAGGACTGAGAGGTATGAAGATCTGTGGAAAGAGGCATGTCAGAGAATAAGCCGAAGCGTTCTGTTATTTTATAACATTAGATCTTCTTCCCTGTCAAACCTGTCACTTGTGTCCTGACTGTGGCTGAGATGATGAGAACAAAATGGAAATAAAGACATGGAATGCAGGCACTGGGAATTCAAGGTGAGAAGCGTTTCAGTGCATGGCGCCAGCTAGCACCCCCTTCTTCAATAGCCTCTCACCCTTCCAAACCATGGAGGGACTCAAGGGCGGCGGCATGTGAGCTCTTCCGTTAGTCACAAAGCAAGACAGGTATTTTTAGAAGCAAATTCTTATATTAACGTACTATCAAAGTGTCGTTTCTGTTGCTTCCCACTAACTAAATCTTTATGCTGTAAGCTGAGCATCCCCAGAGGCATCACAGCCCACCATTTTAACCTTTCCAATATGTGCTCAATGAATTTGTTCTAATATTTCCTTCTGAACTTTAATGGAGCATGCTCAAGAGTGTGCCCATTGCTTTACTGTTTACCACTATGAATAGGTATAGATTCCACTAATAAAATCTCTATGCTTCATTTACTCAGAGAGGATACTGCTTTGAGAGGACTCCCATGCACCCTGGCCTGCTGCAGATAATAAGGTCTTTTCACCTCTTAAATGTCTTGTCCATTTTGGTTGGGATCTGTACTCACCAGGGTGTGAACCTATTGCATTCAGTCACACTCAGTTGAGCACATTTCTCCTGGTACCACAACCTAATATCAGCTACCTCATCAGTTCCTCCATGTTTGTTTCCCCTCCTGCTTGGAGACTGCCTCTTGGTGCCCATGTTTATATTTAGAGGTAGTTGATGGTATTTGTGTTTTTCAAATATTTTTCTTCTCTATTGACTAGCCCTGGACTCTCATGGAAGTCATCTGACACTCAAACAAGAACAACTGAACTTTGATTTTCTCTGGTACACTGCACAGGGTCTGTAGTGTTAGCAGAGGTGTGAATCTAAGGAGCCGTCGGCCAAGCTGTGGAAGATGGTAGATTTTGCTAATGGGAAATAATATGGGCAAGTGGGGAGGTGGAGGGAAGAAGGGAGGGAGGGAGGGAGAGAGAGAGAGACAGAGAGAAGAGTGCAACAATAAGTAGAAACTTACAGAGGAAGAAAAGAGGATGTGCATGTCAACATGAAAATGGACCACAGATAAGGTGCATTGTCCTTCGAGATCCACAGAGAACTGCTATTCTTTTCCTCTCTGGACTTTCTTATTCCCACCATGTACCTTACACACAACCCATTTCCACAACTACCACAACTCCCATTTACTCGGCCAACCTCAGCATTTTTAATTTTCATCTCTTTTCTCAAATGTACACTATGTGCTTTGACATTCTGAATGACTTCCTGGATTCTGTTGCTGACAGTGGCATTGCTAAATGGTCTTATTAATAAAAAAAAAACCCAGAGCCAGATATTGGGGTGAAAGCTAAAAGATCAGAGAAACAGAACAAGGCAGCCACATTCTTACTTTTATGAAATCCTCAGCCTCAAGTGAGCGAGTTCCTATTTCCTCACACCCAATATACCTTTCTGTGTCCTGCCATGTTACTTCCTGGGATTAAAGGCGTGTGTCCTTCCCAAGCAAAGACATGGGATCTCAAGTGCTGGGATTAAAGGTGTGTGCCACCACTGCCTGACCTCTATGTCTAATTAGTGCCTGGCCTTTTCCTCTGATCTCCAGGAAAGCTTTATTGGGGTACACCATATATCACCACATTTCCATAGCATGGGAATGTAGACATCTCAGTGACATAGTCCCATTGCTTCTCCAGCCTAAAGGATTTAGTTATAATGTGTGGATAGTCAAAACTGGATTATTTCTTGTTTCTTGAGTGCTCTACCTCCCAGGCCTTGATCCTTAGCCTACTCGGAACTCTTTCTTGTTATCTATAGACAACCTCAGGTTTCAGGAATCGTTTCAAATGTGATTCTCTCCATGAAATATTTGTATAAGTCATCCTCAGTTGATTTTCTTACACCGGCAAGCTCCTTCTATCTGGCATTGGAGCTATCTAGATACTTATTTCATTTCCATATGAAAACTATAAACTCTATGAGGAAAGGGAGTGCTGCAACAAATTTTGTGGGCTGATTGCCTACTCACTTAATAGGATTATTTTCTTAAGCTACGGACATCAACCGAGTTACTAGGGACATCCAGAGAAAATGTGAGGCAGACTCCACCAAATGCTGTTAAATATACATGGACCACTTTTTTTATATACATTCTTTCCTGTCTGCAGATTCACCCATCCATATTCCAAAAATATTGTTTTAAAAAATCCAGAAGGTTCCAAAATGCAAAACTTAACTTGCAATGTGTGAATACTATCTGAATCAATACAAATTAAATTACGTGTAGACACACCTTGCTGCTGTTAGGTACCAACCACTCTAGAGATCTGAAACCTGTTCCCACTACCTTTGTGATTACTACATGTCTGTGTCTCATGTGTAGACTACATAATTAGGTCTGTGATATTGACCCTGTACTCAATAAATACTGATCATTTCTTGTAATTATTTCATAAGTAGTATTTAATAACAATCATTTCCATAGTGCTTACACTTTATTAGGTATAATAAATAATACATAGATAATTTAAAGTATTCAGAAGAATATATGCAGGTTATATGCAATTATTACACCATTAATATGAACATCTATATGTTTTGATATCTTACAAAGTTCTAGATAAGTGGTTCTCAACCTATGGGTCACAATCACTTTGGAGGTCACTATCAGATGTCTTGCATATCAGATATTTATTTACATTATGATTTATAACAGTAGCAAAATTACAGATATGAAGTAGCAAAGAAAATAAATTTATGATTGGGGGTCACCTCAACATGAGGAATTATATTATAGAGTCATAGCATTAAGAAGATTGAGACTGAGCAAGCCTCAATGAAACATCTCACTATTAAGATAAGAATACATACTCTATCAAGATAATAATAGAAAAATAAATTAATTAATTAATTTAAAAAAATAATAAATAAATAAAAATATAAAAATTTGAAATATTAAACAAACAAACAAACAAACATTTTACTAAAGTTAAAAAAAGGAAGAACTAGGGACTCATCATTCCTCTCCACATTCTATTCTTTCCCTTGTTTTATATATTTTAATTTTTTTTATCGGTGGATTCTGCTGGAGTTTATTGGTGGATTCTGCTGGAGGATCTGATGCAGATGAGCACTGGAGGGCTCCTGTTGCAAATCACCCTCTGGAGCGATGGAAGGATCTTTCTACCAGCACGTGGAGGAGACCCGATCTAGTGTTGGTGTGGCCCCGGAGTTTGGTTTATGTCTTTCCTCAGGACAATGAGGTTCCTCTTTGGATTCCTGAGCACTGAACATGCCCTGTGGCTGCTGCTGAAGCCCAACATGACAGAGACCTAATGGGTCATCATGAAAAAAATCTACCCTTCTGATGCCAATGGAGATTGAGAGCCCAATATGGCCAGCTTTGGCAAGCATTAATGTAAGCCTAGGAACTGTAGCCATGAGATTGGATTCTCCAGAAGAGCTGCCAGCCAAAGTCATGCTGGGATCAAGAAAAACAGGCCTTGGTGGTTCATGTTCTTGGAGTTGTATCCATGCCAGTGGATGTCCACATAATCCAGAAGAGAATTTGACATTGCTGCTGCTGCTGTTGCTGGTATAACAATGGCACACACCACTGCTACTGTTTCTGTGATTACCATTTCATAATTGCTTACTACAGCTAGCACAGTGGAGACCCTGGCAACAACAGTAGCTACTATAGTTAGTTAATCTTTCATTCTATTGGGCATGATAAATTTAATTCAGTAGTTATATACATCGCGATTGGCTTTGAAAATTATAAATTTATAAACTCAAGTTCCAGTTGCTTTTGGGCTACTATCTTACAAGGACTCCAAAACACAGTATGGCTCGATAAGGAAGGGAATGGCTCAGTTGCCTTTAGCCTACTGGCTATGGGTGAGATAGGACCTCTGTTGGTCTTTTCTGTATCAAACACACAGATTGCAAGCCCAGTGCCACTTTGAGATCTTTGGCAGCAATTAACCATGCAGCTCACACACGATTGAGCCGGTATGATAATGAGTATTCAGAGATGGGTGATGCCTGGGGGGCAATCACCAACCTAAGACAGAGTGCCTATGTGGCCTGCGCAGGCGTCTCCATGACAGGGAAGGTGACCTGCTGACGTCCCACGCAACCCAAGTCAGAAGCTCATTTTTTAATAAAAGGGAGACCTGCAGGGTCCTGGCCCCCGTTTTGGGTAACTGTTGCCTTGCTTGCAGACCTTGACCTTAATATTCTCCCAATGCTAATTCCCTGCCAGGTTCCACCCTCCTGAATGCTTAAGGGAAGTTTCTTGTCTGTGTATCTTGAATAATAGGTGTTAACAGCTTAGATGCAAGATTGTAAAACATCAGTAGCGAACTTCTGCCCTCCGGGGTCTTTCCATTGTGCTGTAAGCCTGTATTTAAGATCTCCTACCCCCTTCAAGAAATGACATTTAAAATTAAATATATATATATATATATATATATATATATATATATATATATATATATATATATAAAATTGAATGAATACTGCGAATATAATCTATGAATACCACAAATGTGATTAATATCATGAGTGTAATTTAAAAAATAAATTAATTAATTAATTAAAAAAAAGAAGATTGAGAACCACTGTTCTAAAATAAATCCTGCAGATACTGAGGGAAAACTCTGTGTGTGTGTGTGTGTGTGTGTGTGTGTGTGTGTGTGTGTGTGGTGTGAAGCATCTTATGTGAAGAAGAAGCTGTCAGATAGACAAAAGAGGACCTGGGCTGCCTCACACACTGTTAAGCCTACTCTATGTGCATCCCCAAAAGTCAGTCCCTGTATTACCCTGTATCATGATGCTTCAGTAACTCTTTGCCTGGCTTCTTACCTTCTGGGTTTATTTAGAACGTATTTCATCCCTTTAATGCCTGAGCGGTCACAGAAGGGCACCTAGCAAAATGAATATGCTAGTCATTGTGCCCACCTCCAACCCTCACAGTGTGCTGGATCAAGCATGATCATTTATGTATTCAGTGATATAAACTATTGAAAATTGTTTTCTTGGATTAAAG